CAGCTGTTTGAAGGGGCCCCTGAGGCAGGCTCCAGCGAGCCAAATCTGAACCCTGGACACCTGGGTCCGTTGAACAGCTTGTGCGATACAGGGTTACCCTGTGAGTCCGTCGCCTGCAGTGCTGCGCTGCAAGTGAGAACTGAGAGGTTCTGGCCGGGTGGCATACCAAAGGGAGTAGTACTCCTAGATGGCAATAGTACCCATCTTCCTTCCATCTTTGTCTTCCTGGGTTTGAGCCCGGGGACCATAGCTCAGGTTGGGGGGTTGTGCATGGGGCGCTTTGCTACCTTGCAGTCACACCCAAAGAACAGAGAGGCTAGGTTGCCTCCTGAGATACAAACACCTGGCATGTCACCCCCAAGCCCCACGTGATCTGCATCCTGTCTAGCCTTTGGAGTGTACTGTCACTGTGGCTTTTCTTCCCTCTGTTGTCTCCCAAAATCCCCTCTTCTGACAGAGCAGGAGAACACTGTGGCCCCTTGGACCTCTTATAAACAGAGTTTTTCAGGTTCACGCAAAACAGAGGTGTAAGGAGAGGAGTTATAGAGCAAATGCGAAAAACTCCGTGAACGACCCACTCTGAGTGTTATTCTAGGTTCTTCTGTACCATGGGATGAAAACAGAACTCTAAGGTAACTGGCTAGAGAGGCTGCCCTCCTGGGTGCGTTAATTAGGAGATTATCCCACCCTTAGTCTCCCTGGGCCAATCATGCTAGTGGTTTATTTATAATTTATCTGGGAGGGTAGCATGGGGCTAGAGGAGGGAGGGGAAGCGTAGAAGCATAAGGACCACAAAGCAACACACCAGCACACACCTCGGAGCCCTTTCTGGAACTCAAGAAGAGAGGAAGGGATTTTAACTTTCTCCTTGTTGTGGTGTCAGGGAGAGGTGGGGAACAAGAGCAGCAAAGGAAGAAGTGGGTAGAACCTACAGGAGTAGGGACACAGGGTGATAGTGGACAAAGGATATATGGATAAATAAAATGTGGATATTTTTAGTCACGGGCAGGAGGCTGTGACTACCCAGTTAAACACTCTCTTACTGGTTTATATGGACAGATGACTGTGGAAATGAGCGTATGGGTATGGGCAGATGGAGATACTGCAGAGGGGAATTTGAGGCCCAGAGACAGGCTGAATCCCCTGGAGAAATGAGGGTAGAAGAGGGCACAAGGGGCATCTGGCAGCCCTCTGTAGGAAGGAGAAACTTCCCTGAAAGGAGGTGTCCCCACATCATGATATCTGAAAAGAGCTGCCTCCTCACTGCCCGTTGTGGAACACAAGTTTCATTCTTAGTACTCAGAATAAGTATGGGAGAGGGCTTGGGTAAGTAAATGGGGCCCAGTCTTGATGTCAAGAGCATTTAACTAGGGAAACTGGAAGACTTGCAGAACGGAGGAGAATGGCCCGCTTGCCACAATGAGTACAGTAAGAGGGTGGGCCAAGGAGCTGAAGGGAAGGTTGGAAAAAGAAAACACCTACTTCAAAGGTGACAGAGGGAGCTTTTGACAGGACCTGATGTCTTTGATGCCGAAAACTCCAGTCCTAAGATGAGAGTTAAATGTGGAATGCTAGTGGGTTTACAAAGTCAGCCAGGAGCTAGTGGAAGACCTGTCTGCGTCTCTGGTGTTCTGCTCAGGACCAGAGGGATTGTAATTCCCTGAGGCAAGCTCTTGCCTTCCCTGAACTTGTTTCTTTGTGCCAGTTCTCCAGTCCCTTGGATCCTAGAGAAGGGGAAAGCCATCTGGCCAGGCCTTCCTCTAGGGAAATGAGATGAGAAGGATAATGCAGAGATGGCATGAGGTTCATCCCACTCACTACTGGTTAGAAAGGGCCCTTTCTACAAGGAAGTTCCAGTTTCTTTTCAACTCGTCCCACTTCCATAGGTCTTGAACCCATGCAAAAAAGGCAAATGAGCAGAGGGAGACGTTATCCTTGGCCTGGGGTCAGGGCAGCAAGGCAGTGGTGCTGGGACATTGGTTTTCACTCAGGCCTGAATCCCTGGGCTTCAGGAAGAGGGAAAAGTGACAGGCTGATGGGCTCAGGTTTTCTGAGGGCCAAAGGGTTTTCAGATTGGGCTCTTTCCTGAGGCAGGAAGATCACTGGAGTCCAGGAGTTCACAGTGAAACCCCGTCTCTACAATAAATTTAAAATTTAGCTGGGTGTGGTGGTGTGTGCCTGTGGTTCCAGCTACCAGTAGGAGGCTGAGGTGGGAGGATTACTTGAGTCCAGGAGGTTGAGGCTGCAGTGAGCTGTGATTGCGCCACTGAGACCCTGTCTCTCAAAACAAAACAAAACAAAATTGGGTTTTTTCAACTTCTAGGGTTGCGTCCACAGGGTGGCTGGAGGGTAGGCATAATAAGGGAAGGGGATGGTATATGCTGGAGGGCTACCTTGGGGCATAATTCAATGTAGGCCTCCTGGAATGTTGACTCTTTTTTTTTTTTTTTTTTTCTGAGACAGTCTCGCCTGTTGCCCAGGCTGTAGTGCAATGGTGCAATCTCAGCTTCCTGCAACCTCCACCTCCTGGGTTCAAGCAATTCTCCTGCTTCAGCCCTTGAGTAGCTACGATTACAGGCGTGTGCCACCACATCAGGCTTTTGCATGTTTAGTAGAGATGGGGTTTCACCATTTTGGCCAGGTTGGTCTTGAACTTCTGACCTTGTGATCCACCTGCCTTGGCCTCCCAAAGTGCTGGAATTACAGGCATGAGCCACCGTGCCCCGCTGGAAGATTGACTTCTATACAGGCAGGAAGATGGGGAACATTACACAACTAAAAGATTTTTTTTTTTTGAGGTGGAGAATGGGACCCCAACAAGATGAGGATGGAGGCCATTGGAGGTATTATGAGACTTCAGGATATAAAATGGGAAAGTGCCTGAAAAATATGGGACATCGAGGATAAGGAGGATTTGGTGTTCAAGAATGGGAGAAACAATGCTGGCATATTGTGGAGTCTCTTAAGAAGGAAGGACGTGAACATATTATAGGATTTCAGTATTAGGAACACTGGATGGATGAACTTGCTTTCCAATAAAAATCCCCTAGTAAGTAGGGAACAGATAGGAGATCATGTTGACTATGGTCTATATACATAAATCCTTTAAGTATCATCTTCCAGCCTCTGGAAGGACCACGATAAATCTTACTGGGATATGTTCTCTCTTGGGACCACGGGGATTTTATTTGCTGTAACAGGAAATTGGGTAATAGTGCTCAGCAGTTCTCCCTTGGCACCATTCTGTCTGTCGTGTATCATAGTTTGCTTGGTTGCTTATGCTTTTTGAAGCGAGGCCCCCTGGTCTTCCTTGTTTCTCCATGGTGCGCAGCTCCGCCTTGCTAGGTACTCTGTCAACATAGGTTGAATGAACATGAGCAGTGGTGAGTAGGGGGAGGGCAGGCCTCTACTCTCGGTGTGTATAGAGAAGGATCCTGAGTTCACATCATGATGCCATGTCCATTCGCCGGAGTGGCCTGCGGGTGTTGGTGAAAGGTCCCTGACCTGGGGGTGTGGTGAGGGAGAGGATTGCTAGAATGTTGAGAGATAGTCTTTGGATGGGAGTTGGTAATTATTATGGGATGTTGTAGGGTGAATTAGACTTCATGTAAATGTTTCATCTGTCAGCTTGGTATTTTGGTTGGTTGGTGTTCTTCAAAACTTAGGAGCTGGAGGTAAGCATCTGGAAAATACTTGGATTTTGGTGGGACTAGGTGGGGCCCTAGGTGGGCTTCTAGCCCCCAAGTGTCTGGAAATGATGGTATGAGGGAAGCTGGGGTCCCAGACATGAGGAGGCTTTTTGCCAGGATACTGCTTTGGCCCAGAAAGGGATTAAGGTGTGTGCAAGTGGGGGCGGGGACAGGGAAGCGTGGGTAGCCTGCCTGGCCCTCCCTGCTTTGGGTGTTAGAATAGACTGACAGCGCCTGGAGATGGGGGTGGGAAGAATATGAATATTATGGGATGCCTGGCTCAAAGGGTATAGGGGTGGTGGAGTGGAGATGAAGCATTATGGGATGTGACACTGGGTTGTGTTGGGAGTATTACGGTATGTTTGGTTGACCACGGGCTCCTTGCAATTATTATGGGATGTCAGGATGTGGGTAGGAGAGTAAAATTATTATGGGATAGCTTTCCAGTGTCAGAGGAAAAGAGATTAGATGTCCATCTGTGGGGCGACAGTAGGGCTGTTGATCATTACGGGTTATCTTTTTGATAGAGGAGGGGTACTTACTATAGGCTGTGGAGCTAGAAGAGGGAAGGGTGGGGGTGACGTGAGCCTCTAGACCCTAGCCTGCAGGGACTGAGGGCAGCCCTAGGGGGTTAGTTATTACGGGATGTCAGTATAGAAAGTGGGAGACTGATTATTATGGGATGTGTGTGGGAGGAGGCCGAGTGTCCGTTGTTGTAGTATGGGGGGGGGTGAGTTTCAGACTATTATGGGATGTCAAACTGGGGGTGGATGAAGGATGGTTATTATGGGATGTCTGTGGGGGATGGGGCTGAGTATTATGGGATATGAGGCATAAGTGCTGGGAGGGGTGCTTATTATGGGATGGCCATGGGGAGGGAGAGGTGAATTATTATGGGATGTTAGCATTAGGGCCAAGAGTGAAGAAGTTGGCAAAGGATGGCTATTATGGGATGTCTAAGAGGGTTAGTTGCAAAAGGTCTGCAATATTATGAGATGTCAGCAGCCCCTGGCATATGTGTATGAAATGTGGGGGGGCAGGGTGTGTGTGTGTGTTGTGTGTGTGTGTGTGTGTTTTGGGGGGGGGATGTCCGTGTGTATTATGGGATGGCCAGGAGGTGGGCGGTTGCCCAGGTGACACGCGCGCGCGCGCTCAAAGGGGGCGTGGCCAGTGGTTGCCTGAGCGACGAGGGGGCGGGGGTTGCCCGGGAGACCTGGGGAGGAGGGTGGCGGTAGTGGAAGGGGGGGTTGGAGTTGGTTGAGGTTATTATGGGCTGTCCGTGGGGGGGCGGGGCCTGTGCGGTGGGATTTCCCGGCCGGTGTTTCAGGCCCTTTAAGAGGCGACGCCGGAGCCGGAGCCATTTTCCCCCCTTCGGCCGCGGCGAGGAGGAGCTGGAGCGGGAGTGACACTGAGCCGGACCCAGCGCGACCTGCGGCGGCTCCGGGGTGAGGATAGCGCGGGGTTCCCAAAGAGACGCCCCTCACGGCCCGACCAGCCCCGAGGGTCATCCCGTCACCCGCCCCTTCCTTAGGCGTCTCCGGACCCGCGGACCGCCCCTTGCCCAGAGGAGCCGACCCTTCCTTTCCTGGCCTGCAGGGCGCCCGGCCTCCTCCCTAGCACCCGCCCTAACCCTGCCGGAGTCTTGCTCCCA